CTTTTAATGACACAGGACAGAGAAATCCAAACATGACTGAGGCTCCACACCCAAATGCCAAAGCAGAACAACACAAAGCAACAGAAACTTCCTTCTACAAAGACTTCATAAGCCAAAACCAGGTGGAGGAGGAAGAGACATGGAGCAGTGTTATCTCCATTTCCAGAAGTGGAGCTGTGGTAGGCAGAGAGACTTATCTGGTTTCAAACAAATGAGAAGGAGCCAGCACCAGGTCCCAGAGTATTTCAGATACACACTGCACGGTATTCATACGATCATACAATAATTATGTCTGGAAAGGACCTCGGGAGATCATCTAGTCCAGCTTCCTGATGAGAGCAGGTCCAGCTATTAAGTAAAAATGTTATCACAAGTTTTCTCCTCTAAACTTCATTGCAAGTTGACTAATATTTTTGCTAGAATTCAGAAAGTTGTTCATGCAATAAAGTTGTAAACTGAGCTGGGATTTAAATGTACCTCAAGTCTGAGGTTGAAATACAGGCATAGGCTAAAACATCTAGGAGGCATCCACAACAAATGCATTGAGAGATTATCATTGATAGTGGGAATTGCAACAGGAGAATAAAATGGAAGGTGGTATAATGTGGAAATGTAAAATATGATCCCTGTACAAAAGAGAGGTAGGTCAAGAGATGAGCACTTTGTGAGCTGTGATTTTGGGTCTTGCAAATTTTCTGCTCCGGAAATAAAGTCCCTGCATATAATTAAGCTTGAATATCAGTATGAGTAAGTAAGAGTGTGTGTGTTTGTGTGTATATGTAAATGGAAAAGAGTGATTATTCTGTTCCAAAAATCACACTTTTGTACTGTAGCCAAGCTTTTAATGTGACAAGGAACAAATGTGGTGTCCTGCACACACTAGAATGGACACTAGTGCCAAGGAGCCCATGTCGCAACACAAATACGTATCCTAATGTAAACAGTCCCCAGCACCCCTACAGAAATAAACACCTTTCCTTCCTTCCTTACTGGGTAAGATGATGACGTCTTCCCCAGGGCCTGGGATGCTGTGGTTGGATCCACCCCAGCCTTTCTCCACATCATTCCATGTCTCTGGGTGTGACCATTTCAAGACAGCATCAGAAGGAGCTACAAAACAGGACATACAAAGGCAGAATTATCATTTTCGGTAGCTGGGAGAATTACTGTTTCTTTGATAGTCAAGCATCTGTGGTATTAACATCCTCCTTTTGTCACTGGTGAAGCAACACTAACTGCTCTTCGTTATCTTCCATGCTTAAAGGAAGCTGCCGGATGGGAAAAAAGATCTCTCCCAGGACCATGTTTTCAAAGTTAAAGGACAGTGAGATAACTGAAAAAACAGATTCAAATTCTTTGGGACCCATCAAAAGCAAAGCAAATCTTGAGGTCTGTCATACTTAGCTTATGATACCCCTTGTCAGTATGCTTCACAAGCAATGGCATTTTATTTATGCTATCCAAAGCTCTGAGCACTTTGAACACAAAACTAGGATGAACAAATAAAAATAAAAGCCGGTAACCTGTGCTTGGATCAAAATGGTAACTAACCCTACCAGAAAGTGTTAACTCTTCTCATGTATTTTTCTCCCTCAGTGCTCTAGAAAGCAGATTGAATTCCCAGGGTATTAGAATTTCCATACTTTCCCAAAGTATGAAAGATTTTAAAAAATGAGCGATCAAATCTCAGAGACTGTTAGTCCTCAGAAAAGCAGGAGTCTTCCCACTGCAAGGGGTAATGAAGACCTGCCTTGGAAAACCAGCTTGACTGAGACACGTGGCAACTCCTGCTCATTCCCCAAAGATTTATTTTTCAGCTCAACCCAAAAGGAAACTTCTGAGCCTTAGCATCAGGAAAACATTGGCAGAAATTAAGTTCACAAAATGTAGGTGTGTGACTTGCACTTGTATTTTAGAGAGGTAATGAGCCGGTCTTCATAAATTAATTGCCTAAGTTTGCTCTGGCATCAAGAGAGGAAGGAAAGCCTCCAGGGGGAAATCCTGTACGCTAAGTTTAGTAAGCCCTAAACTAATGCAGGCAGGGCCTCCCTCTGGAGGCCTCTACAAGCACCTACCTCTGTGCTACCACTGTAAAGGAAATTCTGGAAAAAAAAAATCTTTTTCTTGAGGAGGGCTTCATTAGGTCTTGAAAACACAGAGGCAAGCTCATGCCTAAGCGTAGGGGGCTAGACCCTGCTCAGTAACATTGTGAAGTAGAAAAGCCCTCCGTCGCCAGCACAGAAACACAGAGAAATTAAACACAGGTGAAGCTCCTTAAGGCTGGGTCTCTTTCCATTACTTGTTTGTTCAAGGGAAAACACTCTGCAAAAAGGTCTCTAAACCCTATGGCCACGTAAATTATTATGGTTGTTAATAGGCAGCAAGGCAGCTGTGCAACTAAGACCAACCTTTGGAGGTGTCCCTTGTCTCTGGTGTATTTTTCTGTCTGATTCGACATGTAACTGTGCAGTAATGTCAGACCATTACACCAAGATCACTATGGAGCACTAAAACACACTGTAGCCTTACATTCTCCATGACCTTTCTGATCAGCTATAGTATTTCTTAACAAAAGTTTATAGTCTTTTATGCTGTGGAATCATACATTTATCATCAGCAATGGTAGATATGGTTCAATGAAATGCTTAAATGAATGCCAAGAACCCCTGTTGGGTTGATAGATGTACAAAATACTGAAGTGAAAAATAGCAGTCTATTTCTGAAAAAGTAGTAAAAAAGAAATGGTGTGATTCCCAGACCAAGCCTTTCAGACACAGACTGTCACCCACCTGGGGTAGGTAAAGCCACTTTTTCCTTCTCCTTCAGTGTGACCTGAATCAAGTCAGCTCCTGTGACTGAACACAGAGAATTTTAGGGACTTACAGCAAGGCCTTACAAATTAACACACAAAAAAAAATCATAGTAAATCAATTGCTACACGTGATTTTTCTGACAATATTTTAAATTTCTAACAAACAGAATTTTTTTAAGAACAACTATACATGTTTTCTAAACATTTTTTTCTTTTTTGTACTTTGAGAAAGGATTAAACAAACACATTTTAATTTACAGATATGGAGGGTCTCAAGACAACTCATTAGAAACAGCTAAAAGAAAACATTCAACAATCAGAAATCCTAGGCTGGAACACAAATCTCATTTATCCCACTATAAATCCACAGCAGTTCCACTAACGCAAGCGATATTACACCATTGAATGCATAATGTATTAACTGGCTCAAACAGCAAATTACAGCTTTTGTTTTGTAGTTCATTTTTGATTTTTTTTTCCCCCAAATCTGGTATCTGGAAGAGATGCTTTAATTAGTCAGACTTTATAGACTGAAGACAGGGACCCTGTGTTCTCTACTGTGAAAAGAGGTCAGAAGCAATTATCACCATTGTAACCTTTGTGCCCGTATATTGTCAGCAGGAGAAGGGCCAGGATAATGCAAATCAAACTAAGAGGAGCAGGAGAAAACTGCTTCAGACCCAGCTAAAAGGCTACCTCCTCTTCCTCTCGCATGGCATATAAAGGCACTTCCTTTCAGTCACCAGACTGGAACAACTGTAGGTTAAAATAGAAACACTCTGACGAACAGATAAAACTCCTGTCCACTGCCCAACCCCTTATGGTGACCCTAAAATGTCACTTTGGGGGGTAGAATATATGTATAAATGAAACCATTGTCAGAACTTTCCTCAGTTCCAGAACATGCCAGGAACTTTCCTACATGTGTATCAACCCACCGATGGGATTTTGTGCCATATTGTAATTTACTTATTTTATCCTTAAACAAGTCTCTGTACTTTTAAACTGTGAAAACTGTCCTTCCCGACCTCCCTCCTTTTCTCCCAGTGCAACTAAGCAAATTTAAAATAACTGAGGTTCATTAATTTTAAGTGTTCAATAAATTAGTATGAATAATCAAAAAACTTGATTCTTTCTGATAATTACTATTTGATGTCAGTTGAAAGCACTCGATTGAGTTAGCAGCATATGCTCCTATGCCAAATGAGGCTTCCATAATTAAATAGAAACTGATTCCATGAGGTTTTTCTCATGTCTGATTAATTAGTAATCAGGTGCCTCAGCTCTGTTCTTCAGTGTCACCTTCTCTCCCAATGGTAGCTGTGATCTGATCCATACATCAGCCAAGCCAATCTCCCCCAAATCATCACACAGAGCTCAAACTGAACAGCATAATATCTTTGGGTGGCCACACTCTCTCTTTCAGGAGAAAGAATGACATGAAGATGCTAATTTAAAGTCTTTGACCCAGCATTCGTGTGGCTTTTAGACAATACTCTCCTATGGGTACTTTGATGGTTGTGGTGGCCTTCCTTCTCTTCTCACTTATAGCAGGGCAAACCAGGAGTCAAAGGTGGTACGTCAGTCTTAGGAAAAGTGAGAGAACGAAGCCCTGACGCTATCCTTTTATCGATAAAAATATTTTGTTAGATTTGTTGGGGTTTTTTGGTTTAATTTTGCAGGCACTACAGTGCAATCATCTAATTAAGGATCTTTGTATTGTTCAGAGAAAAGCTGTTCTAATTAAATCCTGAGGGGACAGAAAACTTGATCAATATGTTATATAGACCTCATAAAGGTGTTCAGTCCCCTTGCACAGTGAAGAAATGAACCATTAAGACTTAACTCAGTACAGTCATGTCCAGAGTCAGGACGAGGATAAAAATTTCTCATATTTGAAGTGTCATCCAACCACAGAGCATGACAATTCAAACCATTATAAATCATTTATACCCTCCACATGAGTGCAGGAATCGGGGGCCGAATTCTCCACAGCCCCGCAACTTGCACAATTATTTATGTCAAGGGGGTATAAAGTGCAACAGGTGTGAATCAGTAGTATTTTGTTGCCATTTCCCACAAATACTCCTAAAAACTGATCAAAACAGGAGAGGTACAGGCCTTGGGAATAATCAAGACTACAGTGACACAGTCCTTCTGGTTGTTTTGTTTTCCTGCCGAGTATGTTATCATTGTTTTTGTACAGGACAGGAAGAGATATAGGCAACACAGACGAAGGACGTCATCAGAAAACATTGAATTAAGGTGACTCTTCACAAAATGTAGTTATAAGGCTCCAGGGTTTAGTTGTATAAAACCTTTATAAGGCTCATCAATTTTCTGTCTTATTACAGCTCTTCCTGGATGTTTGGGCTGTGAATCATAAATATAGGCCTTCTTGACGATACTCCCGGTAACTTTCTTCTGGTTCAGGGCTCCTTGAGTGAACATGAAGGAGGAGCAACTTAGTCTTTTATCAGCTTTGCAGTGACGGGGAATTTTGCCTGTGGATATTAGGAAGGGCTGAAACTAGGATAAATGGCTCCAATAGCCTGACTTACAAATAACAAGCAACTCCATGCTATTTAACATCAATTGGGCTAACATACATCACAGGAAAATCAAAACTTTTAGACAGCACAATCAGCAACACAGTGAGACACACCTCTAAAAACTGGAGAACCTGGGATAGGATATTTTGTCATCCTTTACCAGGATCTGTTACAGTAAGTACCCAGAAATATGGTATCATGGGAATACTGCATTGAGAGGAAGAGATGTTAAAAAAAAAAAAAAAATTATTTGGGCTATAGACACAGATTCTTGCTTACAGCAGATTAATATTTGTAGAGGCGGAGGTGAAGGCATGAAATTCCTCCTGCAGAGATCGCATAGTCGAAAGACCATCCCTGACAGGATTATAAGGACTTCATCTTATTTCTGTAAATGCTACATTCGCTGGTCTCTCTGCTGCCATGCCAGAAGGACAGCAGCTCATCCTCCAGGAGAAGGTTGATTTTTCTCTTTGCGTCTGTTACGAAAGGCATCTCTTTGCTAAGAACTGACATTTCATTTCACAGAGGCCACTGAGCAGCCCACATCTGGTCAACTGGCCAACTGAAACACAGGGTGATACAGGGTGAGTTTTATCTAGCTGGAAGAAAAGACTCATGCCTGTACAACCAGTCCTCTGTAACAAATTAACTCCATTCTCTAGGTCTTTCACCTAGGATTCTTTTTTACCCCTAAGCAATAAGGCTGCAGAAAATATTTATTTTCTGTATTTTAGTATTAGAAACAAATATTCTTAAGAGCCTGTTTATTCTCCTATACAAAGCAATTACAAAAACCCGCAGAGTCTAATGGAAGTGAGATCATTCTTTAGGAATTTAGAAAAGACAATAAGTGTAATCAAATTATTTTTTTAAGAACTATGGAAACTGTAAACCTGCTTCTGACACAGCAGTAATGTGAGGTTGGGCCTCAGGCCCTCTTAACAACTCACACATGAGTAGCTTGAGCAAAGTCACCAGGATGACCTCCATAAAAGTTGTGTCTACTGAAAAATGTATTTGGGGTAAATAAAAAGTTTGATAATCCTTTCAGTGATGTTTTCAATAATGTTTGTGTCAAGCACTTCAATTTGAGAAAAAAGCCAAGAGAAATCTGGAGATGGAGCAAGCCAACGCTTTGTTTCATTCCAAAAGAAAATGTTTTAAACACTTCAAAAGTGAACAAAAAGGAAACAACATCTCTGGTTTTTAGCCAATTCCAGTATTGCCCAGAGACCTTAACCAAGGAGCAGTACCACGCTGTGGCACCATATGCTTGTATTTGTAACAGACTTAAAAAGCTCATAATGTTGTTATTATTGTAATTTACGCAGGGTATTTCTCCTAAAAATATCCCAGATGTCCTAGTATGATGTTTCTTTCCACCTTCCTTGTTACAATAAGGCTTCTTTGATTCAGCATGGTCCTCTCTCCTGAAACAAGGCTGAGCCACAGCCCATCAGTGTTTCAGGGAGCCGCGCACCCATTTCAGTGCCCATCAGTGACCTTTGAGGAACACCTCTGTCAAGACATGGGGTGCCCCAGAGAAAATCAGGATGCTGCTATGAAGATGAATAATGTCAGAGCAAAGCTGCGGATGTAGAAATGACTGGCACAGGATGCCCCAAGCTTCCTCACTTCCCCTCCACCCAGCATTGAGCAGGGACATGGAGTTATCTCTCTTTCAGTGCAGATTGCTTTAAAATGGTCTGAAAAAGATTGTTTTCAGAGGGATTCATGGGTTAGTTAACAGGGTTGATGTATGTAGGTAGCAGTGAGTACCTTTGTTAACAGGATCATTGTATATCTAGCCCATATTCAAGAAAAACTCTCCATCACAATTATTTCTCCCCATTCAGCGTCCCCTGCATTGTCCCATGCCAAGGTCTAATTTACAAAACTGCAAGCATGCAAAACATCAGGGCAACTTAACTCCTTTAATCCCCTCCATACGGTATATTTTCTTGCCTTCTGTGTTAGACAGACCTTATTTTCTCCCCCAAAGATAAACAAACACTTGCATGACACTGGGCAATTTCAGATGGAAGGGGGGGCATGGAGAAAGCCTGAGCCCAACGCAGGCTGCTGGCCAAGGTGGCTTCATTCAGCTGCCCACTTCGTTTGAATAACAATATCTTTGCAGTTGTGGGGGCTTCCCTCCCCTTCTCTACCCTTTCCCCTCCATGCGGGCCTGAGCAAAAGGCTGTGTGAATTCAGGAGCCTGCTTGTGAATGAGCTGGCATCTGATATGTATTTACTGACGTTAATTTTGGACGTAATGCACCCCTGCCACTTCCCCACCATTTGCCCTAAAAGGCTTTCTGATGGGCACAAAGGCAGAGGGTCAAAAGTAAGTTGACCTCTGCCAGAATGTACAATTATTGGAAAGAGGCGGTACACCAGCAGCTGTCGAAACCCCACCGGCGCGGCAAAGTGCTTCCAAAAGTCGAAGGATGACTAATACGCTCGAGCTCTCCCCTCCGCCCTGCAAGAGCCGGCTACTTTCTGCAGGAAGAATTATGGCCCTCCCGAGCAGCTGCAATAATTGTCTTCCCATTGTCCCGCAGCCCTCCCTCCGCCACCCCCTACAAGTGCCCATTGTCGATGCGGAGTCAAGTGATTATATGCTTGGGCTGATGCTGTTTGCACCCAGCTGCCTGACTGCTGACACACGAGCACCGAGAGGGGGGACCCGCGTCTGCGAGACGGGGCTCCGACATACCAGACCTTTTACATAAGTCAAACAGGAACAAATGACTCTTTATCAGCCCCTTCTCCCTTTGAAGTGGCGGCTGCTTATAGGCCCTTACAGCTTTTCCTCTTTAGCCCGAGCAAACATCCTCCTTTTGATATGCTACATGCTCATTATCTCTGCCCCATTTAATGATTTTTGATTGAAGGGTGGCAGCGCAGTTGCCAAGAGGGTAGTTAAAGAGGCTCCACGCAGTCAGGACGACAAGAAAGGCTTTCCTTGTGCAGCAGCCTAAATTTGGAGTTTCTTAACAGTGTGTTCTTGTTCTTAGCAGCAGATAAGGGCTGAGCGTGAAATTCTTAATTAAGCAGTAAATAGAGAGTGGGGTGTCAGCAGATGCAGCCTGTAGCCATGGAGACCAAGTCAGATGAAGGAGGGAGCTGAGACTCAACGCCGGCCCCGGGCTCGGGCATGACTGACAGCTGAAGAATCCGACAAAGCTTGTAAATGGGATTAATTAGTTGGCTAATTATTTCATATAGTTAAATGTAAATAAAAAATTAAAAAAACAGGTCGCAGAGTTAGGCGGGAACGTGTTCTGAAGGCCAGACCTTCAAGCGTTGACCTCTCTGGCTCGGTGCGTGGACTGGTGGGTTTTTAAGGCCAGAAGGGACTATTGTGACAGCCTTCTCTGACCTCCTACGGAGCGTGAATCTCACCTCATGAGGTTTCTAATAGCTTCTCATAGCGCTGAAGCATATTTCTCTGAAAAGACAGCCAAGCATCATCTAAGGACCCTGAGTGATGGAAAGTCCACCACATGCCATGAGTCTGCTCTGATGGCTAATTATCCTCACCCTCTCAGCCTTCACAGCGGAGATTAGGAGAGAAATTAAATGGCACACCAGGGCTAGGGATCTGCTCGCTTTGTTTCAGACTTTTACCCTACCAACAGCGTTAGATATTATGTATCCAACACTGAATTATTGATCTCACTGCTATAAAAGTCCTTGCTGAAAATGTTCACAGCATGAATTATACACGTTAGGTGTTTTCATAAATTTTCCCTTGTGTACTCTGGATTATTGTTTCCCTCTGTATTAAAATGAGAAACAACAACGAGGTCTTCATATAATAAAAATCAAGATGAAAAGAAGGCAAGAGAAGGACAAGAAAGTATCTATGATGCAAGAGTGACATATGCCGACCAGATCACTTTGTCCCAGTCTTCCCAAGATGTCATCTCCTCTATTTTCAACAGTAGTAAGAGGCCAAGACATAGGTGTCATCTTCTGAGCTTTCCCATGTTGCCCCATTTATGAAAGTGCACTTTAGGATAGGCAAACTGAAAAACAGTTGACTTTTATATTTGAAAGAACAAATTTACACTTAGTAAACTGAAATAATAAAACCATATTTCTTCTTTCATTAGATACCCGGCATGATTTTGAGCAAGGCTTAGACTCAACAGCTAGATTTATACTAGCCAATCTATATCCATACTATACCTAAACAGGGCCAGGACATGAAACTAAGAGCTGGCTATATAGCTAGCCAAGTTCCTGGCACAGCTGTGGCCCAGACCAATGCACTTTCCCAGATGGTGACCATTACAGATCGGGAGTTAGCGCAGGACAGGGATCTCTCCTAATTTGAAGCCTGGGTGCATCCAGCCTGTTTTAAGAGATAAAATGTTAAGCTGTATGGACACACGCTGTGCAATGCCAGTTGGCTGCAGGACCAGAGATGGATGCAGCAAGTGTGACCCTCAGACTGAGGTTAAGGTGTGGGCTTCCCCATTTCTCCTCAAATGTACACTGGATGATTTTCATGCCTTCATTCCAGCTATGTTTTCCTCTCCACTGTCCACTGACTGTTCTAGTTGCTCATTCCTAAACAGTTCCTACATGAAAAAAACATTTGCATGCCATCTTATCAGTGCAAATCAAAAGAAATTCATTAAAACTAATGGATTAGGTCAGTTACAAAATTTTCTGTAACTGTGAAAAGCAGCATCTTTATTCTTTATCTTCCCTGTATGATAGTCATGAAGGATAAGCTATGCTTCTCAAAGGCACTGAAATATTTTTGTGATTCCTGGTTCTACTATTATTAATAATGGCAACAATTATTACCTTGCCTTTTACATATAGAACTTGCACCCTTATAAAATCATTTGCTTGAGAATGGAAATTGCAGAAAATGTCCCAAATTTAAAAGAATAAAAGAAACTTGAATAAATATCAGTAAATATATGAATTTCTTAAAAAAAACTGACCACCACACTTCATGATCTAGTGTACAAAGCCAACATACTCAAATGTAAAGGTCAATAACAATTTTGGAAGTTTACAGTCATAGGAAAAATTCTCACCCAGTAATCCTATTGCCTTCAGTGGGCTCAGCCTAGATAGATTGCACATAATTTATTAATGATACATGTGATATGGGACCAGCTGACAACAGAGATCATTAGTAGAATTTAATGCCTTTTCCTCTCCAAAACACCAGTTCAAATTCAACTGATGTCACATCACCCACTATTTATGATACATTCCCTTTGTTGGTAGATCAGGCGTCAGATAGATCAGATAGAGATGGACCCGATGTGCATGCATTTACCTACTTGACTGATCCTTTTGAAGGACCTCTCACTTATTGAAAGGCCATTGAAAGATGGCCCTGTGTCTAAGGCCTTATGTAGTTTGGGGGTTTATATTAAAACAACATCAGCTCTGTCACCATTCTTGAACTAAAAGGTACATTGTATCCCTTATATTGCACTTACCCAAATAAGTTAGCTTCCTCAGTCTGCTGTCAAGATACCAGTCACAGCTCCTATGATGTCCGTATGAAGGCAGCGACTGGAGTGGCTGTCCAGTCCTTGTCCCACAGGACACCACAACCTCAGGATGGGCAGGAAGATCCTTGTGTTCCACCAGCAAGTAATTCCCAGTCATGAAGTTGCTAAATGTCACTGAATACTAGAGAAGAGGGAACCAAAACAAACATGCCTCTGTCTGTGATTAGAACTCCGTGGAGTGCAGTATAAAGGGATAAAGAGGATGGTGCTCCTCACAGGCAACATATTCTTTTGTAAAATGTGTCTTGGAAACACAGAAGAGAGAAGTAAAATTAAGCAGAAGGTGACTGTGCATGCAGACAAAATCAACACCTCTCATTACCTGTAAAAGGTGCAGACAAACAATGTTTTCTGAAAACCATGCTGCAGTATGTCTTAAGGTAGTACAAATTTTCTTGATTCCTAAGCACCACACTGAACTTTCATCTAAGATGTCTAAAATCATCTTCCTGCTCCAAGTTACTACCGAGAGCTTCAGAGACTAGGTCATCATATCTAAACCCTGCCTATAAATATATAGAGATTTTCTCAGTGCCCTTAACACTTTTTCTCCTCTCTCTGCTCACCCAGAAAGATGAAGGCATGATTATCTCTTCCAAATATAATTTTGAAATTATAAAAAAATCCCGTGTTACCTGGAGCTGTTTGCTGACCGAAGGGTTGTCAAATGTCAACACGTAAGTCTCTTTATCCAAAAGGAGAACCATCCAGCCATACAGGTTTGATAAAGTATCAGGGACATAATTGACTGTGGTCGTCTTATTCCTACTGTCAGTCACAGTTAAATTATAGGGAATGTCTGGAGCCTCTTTTCTGGAAGAAAAAAAAAAAATCAGATTTTATCACAGAACTCTGTCATTTTGCAACCTTTACAGTTCTGTTTTTATTTGAATTACAGTAGTATATGCTGCCTCTCTCTCAGAATGTGACTTCATTTGTGTAGTTCTTTACAAATACAGTAAGAAACGATCTCTGCCTGAAGTGCCATAAAAAGAGAGAAAGAGAATAACGGTGGAGGAATAAAGGCACAGAGGAGCAAAGCTTGTGCCAAAGCAGAGCTATGGCAACAGCCAGGGTACCAACTCCTACACTGTCAGAGTATTTCCCTATCGACCAGACTTATGAGCATCAGGTTCAACTTTTAGGATCTTCATCTTCATGAAATTTGCCAGAGTTTTCTGATTACTCACATTTGAGTGGTCAAAAGTTTAATCGAGGCTGAAGGTGCAAAAATCCTCTGTAATTCAAAAAGCCGCACTGCATCCAGGTCAGCATGCTGGGGCTGCTGCTGACTGATGAAAGCCTTCACAAAATGGGTGAACTTTTAGTACAGCAGTTCTTCTTAGCATCCAAATAAGAACTTAAACCCTTTTTTCACTAGAACTTTGCACTCCTAATTTCTGTCCTATCTAGTCAGAGAAAAAAGACTCACTGAAGAGATCAACAGTAGTAATGATATCATGAGTGAGCATAAACCTTTTAGATTTAAGGCCTTTGGAGACCTTTCTCTACTAACAGGAAATAACGCAGTGAAGCTGGGATGGGTGTAACCACCCACTTTGACTTCCTCTCCAGGGGTAGGCTTTGTCTTTTTCCTGCAGATAGACTTTTTTCAAATTATGCTAAACCAGTCTTGATTATTTGGGTGTCTGGCCAAAATAACTTCTTACTGCTATGATTGCCAGTTTCCTCAAGGTGGAAGGATGTGTAAGGTAAAGTCCAGAGGTACAGAATACTCTGCTTTCAGGAACGGCTTTGTGAAAGCAACAAACTACATGAAGAAAAAGATAAAGCTGAAATGCAGCTAACCCTTCTGATGTTCAAACATTGAACATCCATTGCCTCTTCATGTCTGATCAGGGACACCTGATCATAAGCCGCTTCTTCAAAACAAAGATCTTACCTCCAGTCGTCAGCATCTTGCACTCCTACAACAGCTCTTGAAACTGATGGAAACCATAGCTGAAACTACGCTCTGATTAGCTATACTGTGCTACTGCTTCACATCTAGAACGAGATTGGGAAGGTCTTCTCTCCTTCTAGAGGCAACAAGGAGCATCAAACTCCTCCAGAGGATGTCAGATATGAGGTGAGCTAAAATGTTCTCTGGAGCTGATGTTTCTCCATGACCTGAATGAATAAATCCTAGCCTAAGAATCCCCTCCCTGTCCCCTTACTGCACACACATGCACAGACTGCCTAAGCTTGTCTGAGAATTTGATGCATCTCTCTGTAGCAACTGGCAGAGATTATTCCCCACCTTGAGCATGATCCCAGTTGGCTTGCAAAGGGATTGATGCAGGGCTGGCTATGCCACTAAAGATACAAGAGGAGCTCTGATGGAAGCATCCAAAATTCTAGCAAGGGTCTTACCCCATCACTACCATCATCTCCCATCCCTGGCCCTGCCAACACCAGGCATGCTTGAAAGAATATTAGGGTTGCAGCTGCACAACTTCAACTATCAAGTTTTTTTTCTGCTTCTTGCATTCTTCATATTATGCATGGGGAATTGCTAGGGATACACATCCCAGGACTGCAGATCTCATTCTTAGCTGAAGAGAAGCCTTGCTGGCTTGCCAAGGTACCCTGGGGCCATGATTCTGCCATAAAGATGAATGCAGCAGATTTATACATGAATCAAGTACTGCTGCAGGATCAGGGCAAGTTGGCAGCTTCACCTTTAGTCCACTTAGTCAGTTTTGGCATTTGAGCTGACACTAAGCTTAAAAAAACCACAGACCTCTTTTAAGCATATCTAAAGTGGTATTTCTAAATATTGGAGTATTACCCTACAACTAGACATCTCAGCGTATTACCCAGTGCTCCAGACTGGGTATGGCTTGCTTACCCAAGATAGTCAGTGCTAAAATTCACGTGATCCTGCAATTTGCCTGTTGGTATCTGCAATTTTTCATTGCTTTTCCCCTTGCTGCTTTGGAGACAACACATAATTACAACAGCAATCATCCTGGAGGAGGGTTGTGTGCAGATTTTTTTTTTTTTCCTCTTTTAAAATCAGTTCTGGGTTTTTTTTGTTATTCTGGTGGCTGTCATTTTGGCAAAGGACTTTCTGGCTACCCAGAAACATTCAGCTGATAAACAGCAGTGGGAAACAGGAGAAGTGTGAAACAACAAAGAATCACTCAACCAGAAGATATTGGCAGACCAATGAAACTGACTGGAAGGAGTTAATAAGGCTTAAACAGCTTTCGTACTACTAATAAACCTCCTCTTATAGGCATTAACTGGACCAGGATATTAGGCTGCTAATTAAGCAAGTAAATGACAACAAGCACATTATTGCCACAGTTATCAGCACCTGCACAGGTATTCAGGAAAATATTCCTAGCAGCAGAATCGCACCACACATAACGTGGTGCAACGTTAAACTCTCCTGCACATCAGAAATTGCCTTGTTGAGTTAGAAAGGGGCGCAATGCCACAGCACGTGGCACAGACCCATCCTCTGTGCAACATAAATTCACGTGGTTTTGCTCTTTACTCATTTTACTCTTCATTGCTGGAGAAGTCTGATGAGACAGCTTGAATCACTTTTCTCAGGGACTTCTCGCCGGTACTTCCAAGAAGTTTTAAAGACAGAGAAGAAAGCCTGGAAGGGGCAATCCTGCTGGGATATAGGGAGGGATATGTGTCACCTGATCGATCTGCCAGAAAGTTAGGTGGCAATTCCACACTAGCCATGTAGATTCACTAGCTAGGGAATGTGAATATGAATTCACTAGCTACTGAATTAAGTGTGAATCCAACTCTGTTGGACACCAATCTTGACAAGAGGTTTATAAAGGCACCCCGAATAAATATCTTAAACTAGACAGCTAACTTCCAGGTGGTTACAGTTAAGTGAAATACATCTTTACCAGTATGCCTACTTATAACAGATGAGTCCTCTCTCCCTAGACTTCAAAGCTAGGACAGACTTTTGACTGCTTCAGACACTACCAACTTTCTTTTTAGTTAATTGTTCTCAGTCTTTGGGATAGAGAGACAGAGAGCCTTCACTGGAGAATCTTTCATTTAAAAATTACATTTTTTTATGCAGGTAAACCTTTCTGAGGAAGAAGGCTTTGCATGGTTTCGTACCATGATAGCCTGGATTCCCTGACCTTCACCTGGAAGTTTGTTCATGACCCAGGCAGAAAAGGGAGCAAGAGATATCTTATGGCCTGAAATCTCTATGGTTTCCTTGACCTGGAATGCTGTGTCCTTGCCTTTTACATACCTTGCTTGAGGTGTTGCCACTGACAAACACATACCTTACTCCTGATAGAGTGCCAGCACACCAAAACAAAAATTTGGGGAACCTGAAAAACATGGTCTGCATGGAAGTTAACTGGTACAAGACAACAATGAGCCTGAGACTACATTCCCCTTGAAAGGATGTCAGTGTGCTTGTTTTTCTCACCTATATGCCAAACAGACACCAAAATGGAAGTACCCTACTAATGGAATTACCATCCACAATTAGCACCATTTCCATTTGCCCTAAATAGCCAGCGATTTCACTGTGCCCTAAATAGCCACCAATCTACCGCTCCTTAATGTTAATGAAGCAGAGTAGCGCGCGCACACACACGAGTATTTCTAATTCAGAGGATCTGAGGGAGCCTGCATGCATCATTAACATGGAGAGCTTCATTATCAGAGGAAAGAGCCTTCCCCTGAACTTCCCCTGGCTTTATTTGAAAGAAACTAGGAGGCAATGGTCTTAATGCAAAATTAACCCTCACTTTAAACTGCTGGAAGCCTTTACAAAGTGTAAGGGGAAAAAGAAAGGATGACTCATTGAAAAGGCTGTATTTTTATATTGAAGCAGGTTTCAATTAAGGAGCAATTTGCTTTAGAAATATGGCAGGATTACTGGATAGGACTTTACAGTCTGAGACACAATTTACCAATTGTGATTGTATGAACTGTTATGTAATTTAGCTCAAGTGCATTGTGCAGAACTGCTCAACATAGATGGGCCACAAAGGATTTGTTAAACCAATCAACAACATCAAGTAGAACAAATATTAACTCTCCTGTTTATGTTTACCATTAACTTACTTATCCTAAGGGTCCATATCTTTGTGTATGAAAGCAGACGCTGTGTTTGGCTCTAAATGTTTTCTGTTTGATACATTTGTGTAATAATCCATTATGATTATCCCTCTCCAAAACAGGAAACAATATAGCATTGAACTTCAAATGGGACACCAAGTGTTTATATCAACAGTCCAATTTATTGTTGGCCAAATGGAGGCTAATTCTAAATTATGACCATACCAAACACTTCACAGGTTTGATGCTGGACTTAAAACCAGATCATTTTATTTTATTTACCAAGAATTAAGAATTTTCAGCTGTTTTAAGTAAATGTGTGTATCTTTGTGGAGAGACCAAGGGCGTGATTCAAATCTGCCTTATATTATGAACCTTTATCATCATTGAGTTTTTGCATGCATGGGTCTTTTTGAAAATAACTACATTTCTGTCCCTGATCCTGACTAGCCACTATGTGATAGACTGCCTGAATTTGAAGAAAAAGAAGAATAGAGATGATCTCCCAGGAGCAGACTGACAAGCTAAGATGGCTTCATTTAAAGTAGCTTTTGAGTTTGCTATCCCTGGTTTCCTAACTCCTCTCTGTTCTTAAATCAATTCCCCAGCTCCTATACTTTACAAGCTCATATTTTAAGGAAAAGTAAAATCAGATAAAATTTATGAGCTGGAAAGTGGGTGGTAAGCAAGCAGTTCAAACATCTCTGCGGTGTAAGCATAGCAAAGATGTGCGAAGGACCACTTTGTCACTCCACTTATCGCATATCAGGCAGAGCTCTAAAGCACCCAAAGCAGAACTGAAAATATGGACACAGGTACTCTGGGCATGGTTTTACTGTAGCTCCATTGCCCACTTGCAGTCCTCTACAAATTAATACAGTTTTAGGGCTAATAATACATTGGTTATGACAGTGAGTCCCAGCTGGCATATCTGGCTTGGATCTATCTAGCCCTCAAGAAGCATCTAACTGGATTGTCAGGCTTTTCCCTGCAAGCAAAGAAAGCATAAGGCTAGCAAATGCTCCCTCAATGCTAAATATATCTCCCTGCACCCAGAAACTTCCCAGACAATGGTCAAGCTGAAGGGGTAGGCCAGGGGAAACGTCTTCTCTTGCATACTCATAAAGCTGTGCAGGATCTGGCTTTGCTGCCAATACCCCAGGCTGCAAGGTAAATGGAAAGGGGTCCGACACTGGGAACCAAATTTCTCTTGGCTGCTTTGGTGGGATGTCTCAGGTG